AACCCCAACAGGAAAACAGCAAAATCTCGTGTTATCAAAAGCCTTTGGAAATACTGATTGGGTTTTCATCAAAAGGTCTTAAAGCTGGAAAACACTCTGTATTAGAAATCAATGGATTCACTTCAAACATTTTGCTAAAGCTGCTATTGGTGCTTGTCAGCAAAAAAAAAAATGCATTTTCAAGTATTGACTAACCACACCTTCCTAAATTCAAGCGAAAACATCGACACATTGCGCCTAGGTTGAAAACGTCAAGTGCCTTGAAAGCGTCTTTTAGTTCATTTTCTAATTGGCCGAGTCTCGACTTCAGGAAATGATCATCTAGGGGTCGATACGCGTCCCGCCTGAAACTGTTAGACATAATATAAATAGGTTTCCTCTTCTGCCACAAGTTAAATTAAGAACGACACTATAATGAACATCCCAGAGTTAGGTGGGTTAAATCTGTAAAGACTGTTCAAATATAAAGAAATGTAGTTGTCATAAATTTAGTTCGGAGACTATCCCACAAAATCATATATTTGAAATATTGAATATAAGCCAAACAAATCCAACACAGCCCGATTTACTATGTTAGAATTCATATAGAATCAGGGGCGGGGATGGAGATAGAGGTATATGTGACAATTTGTAAAGGTATGAGAGTTTGTGTTCATTTCGGGACAATAGCAGCTTTTTAGTGCTACTTTGATCAATAATCGGATATGAAATGCAATATTTCCATTTTCTTCAGCACCAAAAAGAAAAAAGAAAAACAAACAAGATTACCAGATATTGTACCCCGTGAATAGAACAACGTTAAATTGAGGTATTACCTGAGCAGCATATGATCCACTTTCAGCAATATACTGGACAAATTCCTTCTTTTTTATTTCATAGTTGAGCTTTGTATGGTCTAACAGAGCTAACTCTCTCTGCATATCTTCTCCAGCTCGTTCCTTTTTCCACTTCGTCTCCTTAAGTTTATTTTCAATTTCAAAATAGGTCGCTGGGAGACTCCTTTTGGAGTCACTAGCAAACTTGACATCTATATCCCTACTGACATGAGTTAAAATAGATGTAAATAAATAAGCAAGAGAAAAGTATGAAAGTGTGTGTTTGAACAAGAAAAACACGGGAGGAAATCATAAAGACTATACCCCCCAGGGAGGTTTCAATTCTAAGGAAAAACAAATAAAAATGAGATTTTATTATTCTGAAAGCTTT